GATTATAGGCAATTCAATTTTCCTACAAAGCAACAAAATATATGGTTTGAAAATTCATTTGGATAAGGTTTTTCAGTGACATTGGCCTGAGAGGCCCCCGGGGTGCAGTGTGACAGGCACAGAGCAGGAAAGCTACAGTTCCCACTGCCCCAGCTTTCATATTGATAAAAGAGTCAGATATGTTGACAAATTGTCAAAATAAGGAAGCAAATGAAAGAGCCACACTATTAGCCAAAAGTTAGGATTAGCCCAGTCTGTGCATTCAAGTTTCAACAAGAGACAGGGGATACACAGTACATTCCTACCAGCTATTAAACAGTGCAAGTTGTTAAGATTGTTATCACTTGTAAAAACAAAAACTAGAGCCCGGAAGTTCGCAATGTTTTAGACACATAAAGACTGGTACTGGGAAAATTGGAGTAACAGCTTACCTACCATTATTCCTAGCAGCAGAAGAAATTCACTGGCATGAGAGGCTATCTGTGGCCACAGATCAAGCCCAGGCTTGAGCAGCTGAAGAAAAATAAGAAGGGACTCCAAGCAACATCAGGTACAGTCAGATGTGCCCAGCTTAAGTCCTTGCACATCATATTTATCTTGGTCTTAAGAGGAAAGTAAGGAGAATAGATGTGACAGAAACACAGGGTGGAAGAATCTACTCCATAGTTGTACTCTGACCCTCAGGAGTGCTGGCACAGACATGCCTATGAGTGAATTCATGCATAGCATAAACACATACAAAAAAACAATACATGTAACTATAAAAAAACTTAACAGAACAAAAGGCAACTTTATGGAATGGGAGAACTATCAGTCAAATCATATAAGACTTAATATTTGACGGGCGTTGGTGGCGCACACCTTTAATCCCAGCACTCGGTAGGCAGAGGCAGGAGGATCTCTGTGAGTTTGAGGTCTACAGAGTGCCAGGCAGACTCCAAAGCTACACAGAGAAACCCTGTCTCAAAAAAACCAAACCAAACCAAACCATAATATTCAGAATACAAACAAATCCTGCTGGTCAACAATGGTAGTAAATCCATAACCTTTTAAACATGAAAAGGACTTGAATGGACACTTCCTCAAGAAGTCTACATATCATAAGTACGTAGAATGGAAGACCAATGAAATGTCACCTTACATCCATGAGGATGATTGTGCTATATCCTAAATAACTGAAAATACAGTAGCAGAAAAATGTATCTGTGTACCATCTCTACTACAGTGAAGTCATAACAGGAATAGGCCCAAGGGTAGGAGCAACACAAGTGTACTTGTCAGCACACAGATACCAAAAAAATAAATATCCATTATTTAGCTTGTATGAAAGCAAAGAAAATTACACAACCAATATGAACTGTAAAGATACTGTGCAAGAAAAACATCCAGTCAAGGTGAATACTGGCTTGCAGTGGATAAAGTTGCTGGTCCTACAAGCCTGATCACTTGAGGTTGATCCCGAGATCTACATGGAGGAAGGAGAACCGACTCCTGCTAATTGTCCTCTCCTGACCTCCACACACGTTCCTATACAATAAAAATAAATGTAATAAAAGATAAACGCTGTATGAGTCTATGTACATGTGGCACCTAGAACAGTCACTCACAGAAACATAAAGGGATTGGGAAAAGGACTCCACATTTTAAGTTGCCTAGTCGGTAGTTTCAGGTTTTGCAAGGTCTGGAGGTCAGCTGATCAACTCAATCTGCTTAACACCACTAAAGTGTGCACTTACAAATGGCTAAAGTTGGAATAGTAAAACTACCTGTGCACACTGGCCAGTCATACCACTTGGAGTACACACACACACACATACACACACACACACACACACACACACACACACACACACACCAGCCTCACAGAACAGTAACTCAAAAATCCCCTCTGGACAGCAACTGAGCAATATGAACCTAACATTAAGAAGACTGGCAGTCATTTCCTTCTAGAAAGCACCTTAGGTATCTCAAAGGAAAAAGAGATGAAGCTTGAACTCCAAGTCAAATCATTTCCTAAAAGTAAAACAATAGCAGAAGGCAGGCGGATGAGCCTGCCCAGCAGGGAAAAGCACCTGCTGCACAAGCCTGATGGTTCCATCCCTACGACAGACCGACTTCTAAAGTCATCCTCTGACCTCCCCTCATTCACCAATATTTAAATGAGACTGTTTAAATCCCAATCATGTAACAGAGCATTTGGTACCACCACGAAGATGCTTTGGCTATCAAGACCAAGTTTTCACTATGCATCATGGGAAACAAGTGGAAGCAGAATTTAAATACAATCCCACTTTTCATGTAAAGTGCACATATAGCTGATGCCCAAGAAAAGAAAAATCTGAAACAAATATGCCAATAACACTTGTTAATGGAACATAAATCAACCTTTTCCCCATTTGCTTCTTTGCTCAGGATCCCACCTGAATATCTTTCTTATCTTGGTTTTATTCTCTTCTCCTCGACAATCCCAGTTTTCACCCATATCTTGAGATGAATATACAAATGCTAACCTGTTGGAATTCCCCACATCTATTCCTTCAGTAACAGCAGCTAAGACATGGATACCACCCAGGGTTAATTCTTTTGCAGCCTTTGGCAAATGCTGACAGGTTAGCCCACATTAAAGGTCCCTTTGGTCTATTAATATGTCATAAGACAAACCCAATGGCAGATGTCAGGGTTGAAATGTCATCCCTTCTAACAGGCTACATCTAAAAGTCAACCAACAGCTGTAGTCAGTCCTGTTTATCTTTTAAAAAAACACCCTCTCTGCTTTTCATCCACACAGCATCAGCACTATGGGATTCCAAGTCAACTGCTACTTCTGGGAGTTCAGAGGAGCCCAATCCAGACTTGAGGATTCCTGTTAATATGGCCATCTAGTAACTTAGGACCCCAGGGCAAAGACCAGTCCTTCTAGGACACCATAGCTCATGTCTGTATCTCCAACACCTGAGGGAGGATTGCTTAAGTTCCACACCAACCTGGGTTGTCTCAGAACAAGTAACAAAAGCCAAACCAACAGCCCTCCAACTCCACACACAGGGTTGCTCAGCCTCCGGTTATCCTGTCTCTATGCCACTTCTAACCAAAGAGTTCTGGAAGGGGATGGAGGTGCAGAAACCAGGAGGCCAGAATAGAGCAGACTAGAAAGGGCAGGTAGACCGGGCACCACAGTGCACACGCCTCTAATCCCAGCACTTGGAGACAACTGCTAGCGGCTCTGAGCCTGGGCTATATGGGGAGACCTTGTCTCAAAATATGAAAGTGTGGGCAGAGAAGCCACTCATCTGCAGCAGCCCCTACTCTTAGTCCAGACACAAGCTCCTGAGACACCCATTCTGGCTTCTCAGTGCACGGCAGAGGTCAATGAGGACAACACACACTGAGTAGCTGGGACAGCAGCCAGCCTCCTGCTCTCAGGGAGGTCAGATCACTCCTCCCCTTTTCTTGGACCTCACCCCACTCCAGTTCAAGACTCATCCTTTTACCAAGACCACAGTTCACTTCAGAGCCACAGGCCGTCCTCTGCTTTTAGCCAGCAGGCTCCAGTCCTAGCAGAAGCTAATGACATTATACTCTAAGGTCAAAATCTAAGCAGCAGTGCTTTCCAGTTGTAATGACACACCACAGTCCAATTCATGTACAAGGTGGTTCCCATGATGGATGAATCAGTTTACAGACATAATCAAAGTTTTACAGACAAGACACTCCCTGGATTCCAAGGGTTTCTGCCCACACCATCCCCAGGTCCTTAGGCAGATGAGAATACATGTTCATACCCAAGTCTCAGGCCCACACCAGCTTCTAAGAGTGAAGATACAGCATCACATTACCAGTGACCAGCCCCACCCTCCTGCCTGTTTTAACTGCTTCAATAGTAGAGCTTGTACAGTGAGTCTAGGCGTAACTATAACATGAAGATATAAACTTCACCATGTCTCTAAGTAGGCAAAGTGACAGGTCGAGAATGTAACAGCCATACAATTCTAAGTTTTGATTTCAAACCTTTATTTTACTGTAAAGGAGAAAAATGATTAGTGGCTATGTACACTTCAGAACACTTAAGTCCAAGTAGGTACTGCGACCTGCTGTTAGAGCTCTCTTCACATTTCCCCATTCCAACGTGACCAACACTCTACTGTTCCAATGACAGTAGTCATTCCCTGGCCATACCATCTTAAACCACACACACAAATAAAACACAAAAAAAACCAACCCAGAAGACAAAATCCCCTAGGTAACAAACAGTATTGACAGCTTGATTTTTTTTTTTGAGACAGGATTTCTCTGTATTGTTTTGGAGGCTGTCCTGTAACTCCCTCTGTAGACCAGGCTGGCCTCTGCTGGGATTAAAGGGCGGTGGCAACTTGATTTTAAAGAGAAAGGAAACACAAAAAGCCATTGACAGCCGAGTGCCAACTTTTACAGACCATTTTCTAGTAAGCTGTCCCCGGCAACACCCAGTTTGACATTTTATTTCCCAAGTCTTTTGACAATTAGTTTCCCCTCTGCTCAGGGAAAGCACCATTCAAGCTAAAAACACTGCAGCCTTAGCAAAGGTAAGCGGGTCAGGTTTTCTGCCAGACATCACAGCAATTTCATAGTAAGTGCAAGGTCATATCCCCTTGTCACAGTGACAGACTTGTTATCAAATAAGCAGCCCCCGTCAATCCCAGAAATTCAGTGTGTTTCATAAGGCATGGCTTGAATATGAAATTCCTTTATCAGTTGTATAAGGCATGACTTGCATATTAAATCCCTGTGTTGTATAAGGCATGACTCATAATTCCTTTAGATATAACTGCAATAGAATTTTCAACCACACAGTAACTGAGGCCCCACCCCCACAGGCTGGCATGTGTTTGAGCAACCAAAAGATTCAGATACAACTTCAGTATTGTCCTTTTAACAAAGCAAAACAATTCTGCTTGGCCCCCCCCCGTCTTAGGGGGAGGCGGTTACTGCACCTTAACAAATTCATTCACCCACATTAAGGATTTACCATCAACTTTTACATTTTATGTGAGCTACTTAGTTCCCAAACTGTTATTCCCATCGACCCACATTTTCCAATCACATTCCTTGCCAGCCCACCCAGTCCTTCATCAAGCCTCTGGCCAAGAGACCAGTGCCAAGCTAAACCCTGTTTTCCCTCTTGTGCCAAAAGGATTCTGAAGCCTGATCCAGTAAAACTCAAGTATAAGGGGGAAGGTGAAGTTTTGGATGACACCAGCAGGACTGAGCGCTGTTGCCAGCCTGATACAGTCAAGTCAGAAAAGCCAATCAACAAAAAGGAGCAACAAGAACTGTGTGCCACTCAGTGGCGTAGCACCAGCCTACCACCCGGTACCGGAAATTCCCAGAGACCACTGCAGGCCGGTGCACCATTCCTTAATACCAGATACTACCCCAACGCCCAAATTAGATATGCCATCTCAAATCCCAACAAAACTGTGCTCTCCCATACTTTTAAAAAACACCCCACCCATTTAACAATTGGCTTCATCTAATACTCTTCCATCTGTCATTTAAAATTGAAGTTTTCCCAACACCCAAAAGTTTCATCACATTTAAGAACGCCTCTGACCAATGCAGAGGCAGGCAGGCCGCAGGGAAGGTGGGCGAGGTCCCGGGGCTCCTCCTGCAAACACCATCTACAATGTGCTGCGGTCGACGACAATGTTAAAGTGTTCTACACCTTAAGCAATCTTCTCGAAGCCAAGTTCGTAGCACAGAACTAAAGACTGGAGGCTTGATTCAGAAGATGCAGCAGCTGAATGCCTCTACCCCCAGGAAAGGGCATCCGGAGACTGGTGCTCCCAGAACAAGACACTCATCTGGAACATTCACGGCCGCCGAGAGCCCTCCAGTCCCCACCCCCATTAGCTGATCTGAACCACTTAGAGGGTGGCCTCCTGAACACACACGGCAGTGCAGAGCTTCCCAGGCCTCTGGAATTCACTGTGGAGGCCGTCTCCTCCAGGGTCTGCCTCGTCACTGCTACGACACACTGGCAGGGGCTCCATTTCTCCTGGTGCCATCTGCTTGGCATGATGAACACTACAGCAATAAACCACGCCCATGAGGCATTTGGGTGAGTGAAACCGTGACTGAGCCCACCCGAGGGTCCATTCAAGCCCCACCCTCTGCAAATCCACACCAACCCTCCCCACCCAGTCAGGAATACTTTTACCAGTAATACCAAAAGGCCAAGTCCAAGACTCTACCACCGACTCTATACTTTTCCCAGGCTTACCAGACGACCAGAGGCAAGGTTTTTAAGTGAACCCATAACCTCAGAGTTAGGAGGAGGAGGAGGGGAAGAGACCACAGAAGAGGGAGCCACGGAACCTAGGGAAACCAGGGAGGGGGACTGCCACCTGAAAAATAAAGCTGTAATCGATGTGGCCTCGGACGCGCGCCTTCAACCTCGGTAGCCCCAGCCTAGCAGACCTTAGAAGAAAACTTCTTGCCTCTACAACCACACCTCGGGCCACCCCTCACACCCACAACTGCGTGCTATCGGGCTAAGCCCAAATTACATACCACCCAGGGCCAGAGCTGTCAGCCCCACGATGCTAAGTCCACTTTCCGTAAGAGCAGGCCTCAACCCCAGGCAGGTAACAAGCCCTATCTGGAAAAAAAGGGTCTGCTGGCATTGTCAAGTTCAAAGCTAACCCCGCTGCCCACCTAACCCTGCCCTCGCTGCCTATTTTTCAAGATGTCCAGGGCCTCAAGGGCCGGGTCCACCTGTCTTCACCACCGGCTCTGCCACTAGGTTAGAACACGGCCCATGTAGGCCCGTGAGACTTGTGCTCTCCTGGAGTTAGGACTCCCCACGCCAGACCGCAGGGCTAGCCTGGTCTAGAAGGCTGCTGCCCCTGTGTGGGTTGAAGACGCTTTGGAAGCTGCCATCCACACAAGCGCACTGCCAACACCTTGACTTCTCCCATCCCCATGCTAGTGGAGGCTGCTAGCTCTGCCATCTCTCTGATCTGGGCCCTGAACTAGCCACTTCCGCCCCGCCACTAGACCCAGAAGGCAGCCCTCCTTGTCACTAACTCCTGCTGGTGAGGGACACAACTTTTGCTTTTATAGCCTTGGGTCGCGTCACCCAGGCATCGCTCAACAGGACGATTCCTCCACGGACACTTAAAAAAAAAGTTCCAAAGGAGCCCCCGAGGCGGGGCGGGTCACGGCGTCCATGGACGGCCACTCCCTCTGATTGCTCAATGTTCCTTTCCTGACCTTAGCAGCGCGTCACGGAATGGAGGACATATCTGAAAATATTTGGAAGGGGAACAACATCAGGAACAGATCTCCTTTGCTGCTGGAGTGGGCAGGCCTGACTGCTTCTAGAATAGTCGGGTGGGGGGGTGGCGGGGACCACACTGGCAGGGCAGGGCGGAGAGAAAAGCAGAGGTCACATCAGGCCACCACGCCCCGCAGAGGCCCGAAAGAAGGGCCGGCAGAGCGCCTGGAAAATTCCACTGGTGGCGGAGGGATCTCTGCGGAGGCGCGTAGCGTGGGGGCGGGGCCGGGCGCGTGACTCCTCGGGCGTTGCCGCCTCTTGCTCGGCGGGTGACGTCAGCGCAAGCGCCCGCAGGGCGGGGGGAGGGGAAGAACTAGGCCCGCAGCCTAGGGTAGGACATTTAATTTGGGTCTGAGGTAGCTGGTGTTTGGGGAAAAGGTGATCGCAAACTACGGTAAAAGCAAGGTTTTTGTACCAGACACACACAGAATGAGTATGCGTATGTAATGTGAATGATTACAGGGCAGCCTGCACAGATGAGTGATTAGTTTTTAAGTCATTTTCCTTTTGGGAGTGATGGTGAGAAAAATGGTTTTTTAAAGCTGCGCTTCTGTGCGACAGTTTATGGCCTGCGGTGGCGTTCGGGGAGTGGGTTTGAGGACCACTGGGGACGCAGGCTGGTTGTCCACTTGGGGTGGGGCCCAGCCCAGGTTCAAGGGCAGACCTTGTCGGTAGACAGCGCCTTTCCCAAAGGTGAACAGGGGGAGACTGGGGAGGTTAGTGAGGTTTTTGAAAAGGAGAAGTGTCAATGAGGGGCCCTCCTCGGCTCTGGTTCCGCACCCAACTCCCTGAAAAAAAAACTGTAAGGTCAGTTCAAGTAAACAGAATTAAAAAGGCAGCTGGCAGGATAACTGCCCGGAAGTCTCCCAAGCTCACCACCCACACAACAAACAAAACCACCCTGTGACAACAGGCTTCCTTTGCAACCAGGAGGGGGAGCCGGGGGTGGGGGGGGGGGTTGGGGGGTGGGGAGAATGTTCTGCCTGCGGCAGATGGAATTTGCAGGCGTGGCCGGGCCGACTGCACCCTCGCCTGTTCCCGGAAAACTGGTGACTCTCATATGACCAGCAGTACAGAGGCGTGATTATGTGGCAAGCGCTGACTTGTTAACCGATGCGTGCTTAGCCTGGTTCTTATGCCACGGAGCCTCCTTCCCCAAGGTCTGTCCCATCAGTCTTTTATTGGTTCATTTTCAGAAATCTTTTCGTAATTCCAGACATTGTCACCCATATTGGGCTGGAAATCACGGTGATACTCCTGCCCCAATCCTCCCAGTGCTGGGACTGCAGGCATTTACCACGGTGTCCGCCTTTGCCCCCTCTGCTGTATCCTGGCAACATTTCCAGGCATGGGTGGTGGAGGGTGGCGACTGCCTTAAAGAACAAGGAGTTGCTTTTGAAAATGTTCTAGAAAGCTGGGAGGCGTCTATGAAACCAAGACTTCCCCTTTAGGCATTCATTGCTCAGTCTCCAGAGACCATGGTGTTTTCTTCACCTCTGTCTCAATATGTCCTTCATACGCCATTCCTCCGTCCCAGGAACAACTTATTTTTTGAAAGAGTAGGTTAGGGCTAATTGGTGCCACACAAAACTAGGGTTATATAAAGCCTGGCTGCTTGGTCACACATAAACAGGGCATGTCTGCAGCTGCCAAGTGACTGTCCCCAGTCCCCAAGGGCAGTATGGCAGGTTCAGAGGTTCCTGGTCCTCAAGGACAGTTTTCCTTGGGAAGACAATGTATTTGAGGGGAGAGATGAGATGAGGACTTAGGGTGAGGTGCTGTGACCACTCTTTCTTGGTGGACACACTCCCAAGGTTCTGCTTGCCACACACACACCCTCAGGTGCTGCTGGCTTTCCCTGCAGACATGACCTCCACCATGCTGAAGGACAAGGGCAGGACAGCAACTGCCGCTGCCAAGTTCCCCAGATGAAAACAAGCTGTTCTAGAGACTGTTGTAAACAAGGCATTGGGTGGGGCTGAATGGTGCCTGCCGGCTGAGCCCCGTGGACTTACCATGGGATTTTGGGTTAGAGGGAAAAGAGCAAAAAGGGGTCCTTTTTGTGACATCTGGTTCTAGGTGGGGGCCACTCTCTCCCAAGCCTTTTCTCAAGGGCATGGCAGACCCCAGTGGCCTCCCCATCTTCGGGATTCAGCTCAGCCCTGTTGATTACAAACACAGTGACAACCCAGGGAAGGACCTCAGGGTTTCCTACAAAAATTCTTGGACTCAGGAAAGGAGTGAGATGGGATGTGTCCTAAAGGCAAGGCCATGCCAACATTGCTGTTACCACTAGCGAATATTCGGGAACTCCAGCGCCCCCCCCCCCCCCCCATCCTCCAAGGACCCAGTTCCTGGGTTGTAGCCTCTTGAGTTCTTTTGGGTTTTTTCTGGTGCCAGAGGCCACCTCAGCCTGGGCTCCTTCACCCCGAGACGTGTGGATCAGGAAACTGCGCAGTCACTGTGCGCTGGCAGGAAGCCAGCCTTTCCTAATCTCCTGGCCTTGCAGCAGCCTCAGCAGGAAAAGAATCTAGGCCCTGCCCCAGGCCTGCTAGATTCTTCCTATGTGCTGGGGGGCAGGGAGGGGGTGTACTTCTCCAGCCTTGCTTTCCCCCTTCTCTTCCCCCCATTTCACAAATCTGGAAGCATATTGTTTTTATGGAAACATCTCACCCAGTGGTTCCCTATCCACCTTACCCTCTACTCTTGTAGGCCAGGGCCACAAAGTCACCTCTCAGTGAGACTCTTGGCCCTAGTTACCAATCTGTGCCCCCTGAAGTTGATGTATGGAGTGTGGAGTTTCTGCCCATTGTATTCCAGATCTCTGGGCTCACAGGACCTCTGACAGGAGGTAGCTCGGTGTGGGTGACCTCAGTTTGTTTTCTAAAGGTGACTCTGAGTCAGTAAAATTTTGGGGATTGGCTTAGGTCAGCTGCACCCCCTTGTAAGGATTCAGGCATTATGCTGGCTTTCCCCTGTTACTTATCAGAATGCATTCAGGCAGTATCCTGGTCATCCCTGGATTCCATGGCTGCGTACTCTGCACACAGGTGCAAAGGACTCCTTTAAAAGGCAGACACACCCCACCCTTGCCTACCTACCCAGTTTCCCTCTCCCCTTTCCCGCTGTTCGCCTGGGGCAGACAGACTTTTCCTGTCTCCCTCTTCTCTTCTGTCCTCTCTGTCTCTCTTCTGTTTCCTTCCCCATGTTTCTAATAAAACTCACTTAAGCTTTGTTTGCCTGGCATGTTTGTCCTCTGCCTTGGTCATTCTCACCTGCCATGGAATCGCCAAGGTTCCCCTCACACTTTATCATGAGACCCATGATATGGGGGCAGGCTCAAGGATTGGGGTGACTAGGGGAGAGGTACTTTTGAGAACCAATCTTTTTTCGTTTTTTTAACGGTAAAAATACTCATCCTTTAAAGAATGAAAGCTTAAACTAAGAAAGGTTTTATTTTTAAAACAAATACATTATCACATATCCAAATGCCATAGCAAGCATTTGTCAGGTTTTTTTTGTTTGTTTGTTTTTTTGAGACAGGGTTTCTCTGTGGCTTTGGAGGCTGTCCTGGAACTCGCTCTGTAGACCAGGCTGGTCTCGAACTCACAGAGATCCTCCTGCCTCTGCCTCCTGAGTGCTGGGATTAAAGGCGTGCGCCACCAACGCCCGGCAGGCCTGAATTCTTACACCTTCTCTGGGACCAGTTATGTGCACACAGGTCATGTTAACAGGAATGTCCTTGGAACCAGTACTGGATCAAACCAAGTCCTGTGAATGTGGGTGTCAGGAGGCCTGGGCAGTCTATAGGGCCTCTGGCAGTGGAATCAGTACTTATCCCTAGTGTATGAATGCACTTTGGGAGCCCATTCCCCATGGAGGGATACTCTCTCAGCCCAGATACAGGGAAAAGGGCCTAGGCCCTCCCCCAAAATGATGTGACAGACTTTGATGATTCCCCACAGAAGGCCTCACCCTCCCTGAGAAATGGATAGGGGATGGGATGGGGGGGGTTGGTGGGGACATAGAAGGATGGGAATGAGAGGGAACTGGGATTGATATGTAAAATAAGATTGTTTCTAAATTAAAAAAAGAAACAAAACCAGGAATGTCCTCACCCCAAGATGTGTGCCACTGTAGGGACCACACACACTGGCATAGTAGACTATCCTTGAGCCATCTACAACCCTGTTCTGGTCTGAGTGCCATCCATGAAGTCACAGAACCAGGGCTTCTGCCAGCTGCACAGTGGGCAGAGTAAAAGCCCTCTGCTGAACCGGGTATTGGTGGCACACGCCTTTAACCCCAGCACTTGGGAGGCAGAGGCAGGCGGATCTTGGTGAGTTCAAGGACAGCCTGGTCTCCAGGACAACCTGCAAAAAAACAATACAGAGAAACCTTGTCTTGAAAAACAAAACAAAACAACAACAACAAAAACCTCTGCTGATCTTGCTGTTGTAGAAGCTTATACTTATTAGCTGAAGGTGTGTGTCTGGGTCCTTACTGACACCACCACCCAAATGCCAGTGGCAGGAGACAGAGTCCTAGAGATGAACTGGGACTTTAGTCTATTGTAAATCATATTTATGTAGGGAGAGGCTTGGGGAGGCATGACGCTGGGGAGAAGGGAGGCATGGGTGGGAACTGGGCGGAGCACAAGGGAGGTGATTATTTCCGAGGTCTGCCCACCTCTGCCCACCCCTGCCCACCCCTGCCCACCCCTGCCCACCCCTGCCCACCTCTGCCCACCCCTGCCCACCTCTGCCCACCCCTGCCCACCCCTGCCCACCTCCAAAGCTCTGCTGGATTGAATCTTTTTTTTTTTTTTTTGAGAGGCTTTAAATATTTTAACTGAGTTGTCATTGTACAGAAAAACAATCAGGTCCCAAAGCAGAATCCATTGGATACCTGGGTTCCAGAGCCCAGAGGCAGGAGGAAGGCCCTGGCCATCAAGAGTCAAGAGTGTGGGTTCTGTACATGGAGGCACTCATCTGTTGCTGGCTGCTTGGTACAGCCCAGGCCAGAAATGCTGGCTCATGATGCCTGAGACTCAGCAGAAAGAAAGGGAAGGCTCAGCTGCCCCCTGCTGGTCACAGC